GTTTTCATTATGTCGATTTTGCTGTTTCTACTTCTGACTTACATTCTTCTGAAGCATTCACTTGGAGATTCGTCCAGGGGATCGACGTCAGGTTAGTGGTTTTTACTTATAAATCGAGAGAGTATACATACAATGGAATAGGGAGAAGTATTACATTTATTGAGGTTGATAAAATAGTATTATGATTTCGCTCACATAGATCTTCTAGCAACTTATATGTGTATAAAAGTGTGTCACCCCAATTGCAACTAGACTCTGACATGTCTTTATAATACTGAATAAGGAATCTAAGTAACCGGTGATATTTAGAACTACTACTCTTTTGTGCTTTTTCGACTTAACGGTTGCTTTTTGTACTACTCGCTAGTTTGCAACAAATGTAACGAAGAAGTTTTTTATGTTTCTAAATTGTCACGCTGTGTAAGGCCATTCTGTGGGTTACGAAAGTATTCTTTTACTTGCGTCGGCCAACTTTATACCGAGATAGGTCCACCTGACTTATTTGAAAAGGATTTTCACATCCTGTTTGTTTGTTACGAGTGTTTTTGAGGTCTCACTCTATATATATATGTATATATATATTAAGGAATAGGATTAAGCTCGCTTTGACATCTTTTTGGTAGCTTCATTGTGGTCAGATTGTATTGTACCATCATTTGCAAGGGTGTAAATGTTTTCACTCCTCGTAGTTTGCCAGGTGGTGAAAGCCACTCTAGTGATTCTCTTCTCTGTACATTTGTGTTTGTTTATCTGCATGCAGTGATTTCACTGTGAAACAGGTTCCTAAGGTTTGTACATGTACGGTTGTCATTTGAGAATAGAGGTTTGTTCATAATATAAATCTATGGAGTGAATAATGCAATTGCGTAACTCCAAAGGTACTCAAGAATAACACTGGTAAATTATTAACTGGGTTAACTGCGTTAGACGTATAGGGATCCGAAATTGTTTCACATGACTCGTGCAGCTCATCTCAGTTTACAAGAAAGGGGTCAGGTTATTTATGACAGTCGCAAGAGGATCAGTCACAAAGTCCTACGGTCTGTGGTTGTATAAATCGGTAGCTATTACCTCCTTGTGACATGGCACAACATGATTCACGAGGCTGCTGGTGTGCTGACCCCTTGACGCTATTCATATTCTGCAAATTATTCTCTCCTATTGTAGTTTCATCAAGTTTTTTGTACGGCTATATGTGCCTTTCCGAAGTTTGACAGCTTGAAATAATGTACTTGTATTAAATATCCCGCGTAATGTGAGTCAATCGTCTCTAGATGTGCCTGGTGTGACTCACTGGTGTCGTCTCACTGCAGCCCTGGGTGATATAGTTCCCAACTCAGAGGGAACACCAGTTCCTTCGAGTTTGCAGATACACTTCTCTGATGAGTGTCTAAAAGTATGAGACCTAAGACTTCTTGCTGATTGCCTTCAACCATCTTATCAATGTAAAACTGTACAAAAGTGTATCACTTGCCACATTTCGGAGCACACATGGACTAAAGTAAAGGGACAGACGGAGACAGACGAAGAATAATTAGGTGAAGAATAGCGATCCTGCGTTACTAACCTACCATCAGCTTGGGACGACTGGACATCATGCTGGGATATGAATGTTCCAGTCCATGTGGTCTTCCTAGACTTTGAGAAGACATTTGACACTGTACATAATATAAGCCAGGCAGGCATAGGTGAGCCACTTCTGTCATGGTTGAAGGACTACCTAGCCGACAGGCAATTTTACACTAAGGTTAACCGAGTCCAATCCTCTTGGCACAGCTCGTCATCAGGAGTGTCGCAGTGTTCTATCCAAGGACCACTGATGTTTTTGATTTTCATCAGTGATCTACCACGCAGTCTAAGCTGCCCGACTCTCCTATACGCTGACGACGTAAAGATATGGAGGGCGATAAAGTGTCCGGAGGACTCCGATAGGCTGCAGGAAGACCTAAACCTTCTGGAAGACTGGGCAGTGGACAGTGGCATGACTTTCAACCTGAAAAAGTGTAAAGTAATGAATTTGCGCACCTGTAGACTGCAGAATGCAAGTTAAACCTTGTGCAATGAAAGCTTGTCCTGCACAACGTCGGAACGCAACTTAGGTATAGTTCTAACGGAAAAAATGGACACAAGCGTAAATTACACAGGGGATGTAGCGTGGGCATATGCGGTCATACACTTTACACATAGACAGTTAGGTGCACTCACTCCTGAGCTCTTTCTAATGTTGTACAAAACATACGTCAGGCCACACCTTGAGGTGCATTATATTATTGCACCCCCAATGCTGAGAAGAGACGACAACCTCTTGGAAAGAGTCCAACGACGGGCAACAAAAGGAGTGGCTGGTCTCCCAAATAAACCATATGATGAAAGGCTGAAGAAATCAGGCCTGTTCACACTTAGCTACCGTGGGCTTAGGGGGGATTTGACTACTGCCTACAGAATAACAGATGACCAGAGTCACCCAAACAAAGGTGTTCTGCCACTGGGTAAGCATAGGCTCCCTCGTGGAAATCCCAGAAGGATAGCTCACCAGAGGACAAGGACCTGGATGCGCTCCCACTTATTTTCGCTGCGGGTTTGCAGTCCCTGGAATTCCTACCGGCAGATGTAACTATGGCACCGTCTTTGGACGCCTTTAAGCGAAGACTGGACAACCATGCAGCGACACAAGGACTGCATCCAAATGGCCTGTCCCCTTGAAATCGCATACACCATTCAGGGGTAGACAATTAAACTCGTCGTTTTACTTCTTTACATTCTCTCCCGTCATACTCTCCTGACAACTTATTAATATTATAATTGTTATTACTATTATAATTACCGATATATATATATATATATATATATATATATATATATATATAATTCTTCAAATTTAATCAGCTGACTGTTGTTACTTCTTCATATTTCTTTTTCTGTCTCTTAGTCTGAATAACTTCACTAATTATATCTATTATCATTATTATTATCTCTTTTCTCTTGTCGACGATACCGGAGGAGTAACTGGTGAAAGGCTCAACTCCATTCACAGTAGTAACAGTCTTAACACACCTCATACTACAAACCACATATAATTAATCCCAGCACTACTCCCTTTGGAGTCAACCAAAGCTACGACAGTCGAGTGGCGGGACAAGCTACGCAGAAGTTTACCGAAGATCAGGAAACTATACCTTACAATCAAGAAGCGAGCACAAAGAAATCAAATTGGTCTATACCAGCTCGTATAAACTATATTGGATATTGGAAGGTTTCAAGAATACTTACACGGTATATTTAGCAAATACTGATGAGTAACATGAGCTTAAGGGCTGAAAAAATTGCATTTTCACTGTCTGGGATATAGAATCTCTGTTAATATAAAAGTACGGCCACCGTGAAGTTTGTTTAATCTTATCAATTAACACTAATAACGAGCGGGATTTCCTTCTGCTGTCTCTGATTCAAATCGAAAGGCCTGGCCGTGCTGGTTAGATGCAAGTAGATGGAGAGCTCTTCTATCCGTAATATCTAACAATAGTAGTAGTACATTATTCTCACCAGTGCAACTCATACCCTATGTGAATTTACAGCTACAGAGACGCATTCTGAGGGACTATGAGATGAAATCGGACTTAATTTAATAAAACGGGACATGTTTTCATTATGTCGATTTTGCTGTTTCTACTTCTGACTTACATTCTTCTGAAGCATTCACTTGGAGATTCGTCCAGGGGATCGACGTCAGGTTAGTGGTTTTTACTTATAAATCGAGAGAGTATACATACAATGGAATAGGGAGAAGTATTACATTTATTGAGGTTGATAAAATAGTATTATGATTTCGCTCACATAGATCTTCTAGTAACTTATATGTGTATAAAAGTGTGTCACCCCAATTGCAACTAGACTCTGACGTCTTTATAATACTGAATAAGGAATCTAAGTAACCGGTGATATTTAGAACTACTACTCTTTTGTGCTTTTTCGACTTAACGGTTGCTTTTTGTACTACTCGCTAGTTTGCAACAAATGTAACGAAGAAGTTTTATGTTTCTAAATTGTCACGCTGTGTAAGGCCATTCTGTGGGTTACGAAAGTATTCTTTTACTTGCGTCGGCCAACTTTATACCGAGATAGGTCCACCTGACTTATTTGAAAAGGATTTTCACATCCTGTTTGTTTGTTACGAGTGTTTTTGAGGTCTCACTATATATATATAATATATATATATATATAATATGTATATATATATTAAGGAATAGGATTAAGCTCGCTTTGACATCTTTTTGGTAGCTTCATTGTGGTCAGATTGTATTGTACCATCATTTGCAAGGGTGTAAATGTTTTCACTCCTCGTAGTTAGCCAGGTGGTGAAAGCCACTCTAGTGATTCTCTTCTCTGTACATTTGTGTTTGTTTATCTGCATGCAGTGATTTCACTGTGAAACAGATTCTTAAGGTTTGTACATGTACGGCTGTCATTTGAGAATAGAGGTTTGTTCATAATATAAATCTGTGGAGTGAATAAAGCAATTGCGCAACTCCAAAGGTACTCAAGAATAACACTGGTAAATTATTAACTGGGTTAACTGCGTTAGACGTATAGGGATCCGAAATTGTTTCACATGACTCGTGCAGCTCATCTCAGTTTACAAGAAAGGGGTCAGGTTATTTATGACAGTCGCAAGAGGATCAGTCACAAAGTCCTACGGTCTGTGGTTGTATAAATCGGTAGCTATTACCTCCTTGTGACATGGCACAACATGATTCACGAGGTTGCTGGTGTGCTGACCCCTTGACGCTATTCATATTCTGCAAATTATTCTCTCCTATTGTAGTTTCATCAAGTTTTTTGTACGGCTATATGTGCCTTTCCGAAGTTTGACAGCTTGAAATAATGTACTTGTATTAAATATCCCGCGTAATGTGAGTCAATCGTCTCTAGATGTGCCTGGTGTGACTCACTGGTGTCGTCTCACTGCAGCCCTGGGTGATATAGTTCCCAACTCAGAGGGAACACCAGTTCCTTCGAGTTTGCAGATACACTTCTCTGATGAGTGTCTAAAAGTATGAGACCTAAGACTTCTTGCTGATTGCCTTCAACCATCTTATCAATGTAAAACTGTACAAAAGTGTATCACTTGCCACATTTCGGAGCACACATGGACTAAAGTAAAGGGACAGACGGAGACAGACGAAGAATAATTAAGTGAAGAATAGTGAAGACTTTTGGAATCCGTATTATAATATGGAGTGAATATGGGCTTACGATAGTATTCTAATTATGATGCTGTCAACTGGTTCTGTATGGTTTAATGACATCAACTTGGTAAGTGTTAAGGAACCAAATAAGTGCAATTTCTTGGCTCGATATTCTAGTAACATCAGTTAAAACAAAGTGAATATATTTCTATATTGTGTTTACTGTACGCACTTCTCTTGTTTTCCTCTTTTTGAATATATAGCTGTGTTGACCGATGTGTGTCCTTCAGTAGCAGAAAAACATTTAGCGTTAAATATGTCTATTTCTCCTGTGGTACCGCATGTAACATGTGTGTACAATTTCGAGACATACATGCATGGAACTGCAGAAATCACTAGTAATAATTTCAGTGTGACTTCATTACATGGTGAGAAATATAAGTACGAGCAAGTTTCGCATGGAAATTATTCTACAAATACTTCAGTAATAAATTTGAAGGATGTACCTGATTTATCTGTTTGGGACGATAGATCTGTACTTATTTTGGCTGTACATCGTCTAAATTTCTCTACAGAACCTACTTGCCCCGAAGTCTATCTATGTGCTATTCCTAACGTTAGACACAAAAGGACTTCAGAATGTGAAACTAGTTTAGGTGAAGTAAGTCCATTTAAATTCACTTGTTATGCACTTATTTGTGAAGTGTACTGATTATTTGATGCTTTGGTTCGCTGTCTAAAGGCTTCATTAAAGGATGCAACGTTCACCTCTGGCTATACACAACATTATAAAAAGCTAGGTTCACTTCACTTAAGCGTACTTTCATAGAGAGGCGGTAATTAGATGTGTTTGTATGTGTGATATGTTATAGGTACAAGCGTATGACATTCATAGCCTCATTGGTCTGTTTGCTTTCCTTACCTAGTAAAGTACGTTTAGCCTCAGTATTTCTGCTTCACGGACCCACTCGTCAAGATTGAATCTTTTGATTGCCTCTACTTTTAGTGACCTTATGTCAACTGTAAAGTAGGAAGAAACAAATGGTTGCTCAGTATATTTATCGTTTATTAGCTAATGGGAAGCTGGCCTTTGTCACTGGTGATGCAGGGTAGTAAACATCAAACAGACGTTCTTACAACCACAGTGAAATCCTGTCAGGTAGTATGAAGTGGTATGTGAAACATTCGTACATAGACTGCGTATAGTGGTTTGATTTAATCCCATATATCATCGTTACAAGCCTTTTAGTGAGTTCTTTCCGCTTAAATTGAACGTGGCCATTGTGACATTGTAAACTTACTTTCTTGTAAGAAAATTAGTACAAACCACAAACGTCACTGGGAGGCGGGGAAATCCAGCCCACCATTTCTAACTTGAAATAAACGCATGTCTTCAAAACTCCCACTTCACAGTCCGAAAGATTTCACTAAAGGCTTTATCGAAGCATCCGCACACAGCTCATATGCCAGCAGAAACTTGAGTTCATTCCTATACACCACTAACAAGAATGATGAAATACTATAGTATTCTTAATTTTTGTTTCTAACTCAACCATCATCATGATGTGAAATTTGTTGTTAGAAGATAAATACTTAGTAACCTTTCGGAAATACTTAATATTTTCATCATTGTGGACCTAGGAAAGTCCTACAATAGCTGTATTTTAGATCCATTTAGTTTGCTTTCGTAGCTGACCTGCTATCTCCCTACTGATTCTGATGATCGAAAAATTTAACTAAGTTTATTTGTATTCAGCCTCATTGCTACCCCAGAAATACAGTGACTTCAAATAAAAAAAATAAGAACTTATTTAAATGATTCAGGCTATTCTTAGCTCAGTTGGATGGGGTTGGCATTATTGTATTCTCTGGGTTGGATGGTCGAATTAAGAATCTTTGATGTTCTTTCCTAATCAATGCTTTTAAAACTAGTTTTACGACTAGTAAGAATTCAAGTATGACATTCGTTTTTTATTTGATTTGTTTCAGGTTAGTGGAAGTTGCCAAGATGAAATCGACGAAACTCATTTTTTCTTGTTCCCACTTGCAAGCTCTTTAAAGATTTCAGTTGGCAATGTTGGTCAGAACCCAGACTCATTGAGCAGCAGCATGCATATCGTTGTTACTGCTGGGTGTAAGTTTTAGAATGTTCGGTAATACCAGTGTGCGTTTTGACAAATTTCTTGCAGATATTTTTCGTCTGTACCCAAATGGCTTTAATGTTAGACATTTTTTTCACATTCATCCACCAAGATGCCAATCGATGTCATTTGAAACCAACGTGTTTTAAGAAACACCTAATACTGGGTTACCTCATAAAAATGCCTTATTCTTATCTTTTGTTAAATGGCCCGGCCAAAGTTTGTAAAATAGCTTAGTATATCACATATTTGTACTCCTATACATACACCAACCTCACTGTGGTATGCTCTAGACTTAGTAGCGTTAGTCTGATTTTAAGAAGTTTGAACGCAGGAAGTTTCGACATAAGGTAATTCCAATTCCAGCTAGATATTTCTTGGGCACTGAGTGCTAGATCATCGTTGTCTGTGTAATGTTGCCAACATGTTAGACGTTCTTTGGTTCGATAGTGTTTTCTGTCCTGCTGAAGATTGTCATTTCATAGATTGTCAATCAGAACGCCATCTACTGTTGTTTAAATGCTTGTTACACTTCTTATCTCAGTTGGCTTTAAACTGTTCATTGTTTGGTAATCTGAAGACTGGTTGGAAGAAGTAAAATATCCTTAGTTTGTTTTGTGATACCGTAAAGTAGATTGTTTCTTTTACATTCTGTTTACTTAAAAGTTATTAAAAAAAAACTCAACAACTATTGCATCTTAACGTGTCATGTTTTGATCTGAACTAAGGTGTTTAACGGGTGTGTTCTATGCAATAACATTAACCTTTTTTGCACACTATTTTTAAAAGTAGAGTCGGTTTTGTACTTATTAGAACGAATTCTTTAATGGTGCTTTTAGTGGTATTTGATTATTTGTTATAGTTGCACGTGAACATGTAATCCAGATCAATTGTGTCCGAAGCTAATCTTGTTGGTTTTCAGCATGTGTAGCACGTGACCTAGCCAAATCAATCGACAAGGCTTCATGTCTTCATCGGCTGACTCTTACTCTTTTTACTTTTAATGGTTTTCACCTAATCGCATTTTCACTTACCATGTTGCTTCACTTAATGGGAGCAGTCGGATAAAGTTATCTGTAATCAAAATTCCTTGATGTTTTTGACATACTCAGCTTTATCTGGTCACGTTCCACAGCCATAAAACAGTATTAAGTCGACTGCTGCTTAGTGTTGATGCCCTGTGAATGGTAGCCGGACTGATACCGGCGCCAAAGATAACACTAATTGTAAACTGCCAAATGAGACCTATATAACCGTGTTGAAATTTCTGCAACATTCTGTGCATCGGGACCTGTATAACTTCCGTAATAAGTTGATCAATACTTTCAACCATTTTTATTTCCCTACCTAAACTGGTAGTCTGCGGCGACCATTTCTGAAACATCGTCTTGCATTTGACTAGAGTGAATCGCATGCTAAACACGCTTAGATTTTTGACCAGGGTCTTTAGAGGACTCTGGAATTTGTTAACGTTCTCACCATGAAACATGTAGATATGTATGCTCTAAATCAGGACCTTTTCTTAATATTTGGTCAATTTCAGAGAAGTCAGAGTCAATTGAAGTCACATCCATCATAACGTCTGTAATCAAATTAAATAAGAATGGTGACACTGGATATCTTTGGTGGACACCACTGGTTGTCTTCACTTCAGACAGCAGATCTTCATGGGCTCTTGTACAGCTGGATAAATTCGAACAGAAAAGTAGTAGCATGAAATTTTTCAGCACTCTTATCACAACTAAACGTTGACACAGCGATTCTCGGCTGGTGGACTCAAATGCTGCTCTTAGGTCGGCAGATGTTAGTTACCGGTAGGAATTCCTTAGTCGTAGAACCTTATGAAATTAGAATATTTGACCAATGCACCCACGTCTTCTCCCTGGTTTTTTGAGATAGTTTTCCCTGAACTGTAAGATGTGATACATGTCAGTCGAAGTGTTTCTTCTGCGATTATCACAAATAGGTCTACCCCCTTTCTTGTAAACTGAAATGATTAGCGATCTTCGCGAGTCTGGTGGAAATATTTGGTATCCTCATGTAATAGCTATCATCTTAGTAAATCCAGCTAATGACTCACTACTGTAACACACAGCATCAAGACTTGTTGCCTTGTCTCGTCTTAGATTAGGTGCAGTCTTAACACCCTTGTCTCTAGATGAATAACAGACGTCTACATTCCACTTAAACTGGGATTAGATAATGGGCAACTGTAGTGCAGCTGTAGCTGTAAGCTGGTGTTCCGTTCAGTGTTCCAGCCATCCTTTTTAAAGATGTTGAATTGGTATCTTGTCCGTCTAGTAGGCTGTAATTTAAGATTACAGACATTATATTTGATGTTAGATTTTTAGATACTTGAAATATTAATTATCTTAATATCACATAACATAACTGTGTATTTTTATATTTCTAGATCGTTTACCTCCTACTGCATTTACTTGTCCATCTGGCTATTTCGCTTGCCAGTTATTCAATAGACTTATTGAACCTCGGTATTCCCCACTAAACTGGACATATCGTATATGTTTGCCCTTGGATTTGTGGTGTGATGGAGTACCTAACTGTCCAGTTACTGGTTCAGATGAAGAGAACTGCTCCGCTGTACCGCCTAACAGTTATGCGTACTTGGATTCACAGTTTCAAAGTGAATATCAAATGCTTGGCCGTGTTTTAGATCGATATGCTGAGAATACAAGTCTATTACGTTTAACTGGATTTCATAGAATTTCTGACAAGTCAAGTATATTTTTGGCATCACTTAACACACTCTGGTATTCGTTGGGATTGCTTTCATTTATTTCAGTGATAGGTATATTGACTATTGCATATAGACTGTCGAAAAAGAAGAAAGATGGTAATGCCGTTCAAGTCGTTGAAGAAAAAAGTTATGCTGAAATTTCACACAGTAGCAGTAATGCTTTGAAAAATAATACTGATAATAGTTTTTCAGAAGTTGATTGTTATGAAGAGAAATTATCAAATAGTAATAATAATAATAATAATATTTGTGGGACAAATAAGAAACTCGATGGTTCTAACAATGTTTATCATCATTTTCCTTCAAATCATACACATTACAAGAATTTTTATGTAGATCCAGTTGGTTGTAACCGAGAAAGTGTTCCACTTATTCATGGGCAGCGTCCAGAACACTAACTGTCATCATCGCATTGTGTGTTGGCTAAAGAGTAAGATTAGAATTCAATCAAGTGTGTATGTTGTCGACTTCTGGTGTATTGTTGTTTTAATTTGATAATACTTTAAATGGCAGATTTTTATTTACACTGAGTTTATCTTTGTGCTTTTGTGATTGCTCTTTGCGATTGTGCATGCCTACTTCTTCTTTCTCATATGTACATGTTTTCAGATTATATATAGTTCCGTGCAAAGTATTTATTTACCTACTTTCATCTCACTGAAGCTTTGTTCCGGTGATTAGTTAGTAGTTTTGTCTTTTTTAACTGTCTTCTTCACTTGTCATGGCTTCATCATTCCCTTTTTCTTCTCTCTCTCTCTCCCTTTCGTTTCCTTCCACTCATACCCTGAGTTTTCCTTAGACACATTTTGTCATGTATTGATTCAAAGTCGGTGTGACTATCTATTCATGGAGAATGATGAAGTAAGTGTCTATTTTGAATTGTGCATCTTCTTTTCTTTCTGTGCACTATGATTAGCTTATCTTGTGCTAATCTTGACTTGATTTTATGAGAATAAAAGTGGCATTAAAATCTCTTCATATTTATTCAATTCGCATCATCATCATCCATATTATATATCATAATCATTTGTTTTTTAGCTTTTTCTTCTTAACGCATTAATTATGTCGTATATTTTATCCCTTCCGTGTGTGTGTGTAATCCACATACTACAGAGATAAATCTCCTCGTATATTACCGTTGTTTTTATTATTAGCACCAGATGATGGAAGACGTAGTCAGTTTGCTTTTGTCAGATTGACTGTCTATTTCACCTCTTTTGCTGAAATTGTCATTTATTCTTTTCACATCGGTATATTATTAAGAGAGAGAGAGAGAAATTGTATTCCGATTGCTAAAACAGCTACAAGTAGGTGGTGGTATTTAGTCGGGAAGCTTTAACTCGATTTATTGACTTTATTGAGATATGGTGTTTATTACTTAGAGTACTGTGCGTGTGGTGCTTTCCAGTAGTAGTAGTAGTAGTCGAACGATAAATTTTATGTAATGAAAGCCAACTTCTTTTTTCAATTACCTGTTGATCCAAGCATTGATGTGTGTGTATTCCATTTTATTTGGGTCATCGCAACTGAGACGTGACTATTGCGGGTAGTCTGTGTGTGAAACGTCACATTGCTAGAATGTAATAAAATCGTCGAAAGTGCAGAACGTAATAGAAATAGCATCAGATATTGGAGCTTAAAGCTGGTGTAATCAAAAGGGTAGACGACTGAACCTACTGAGGTAAAATAAGATTACACATTCTTCTCTGCCTAAATGTTAGTGTTGAAAAGACCCCATAATAGCAATTATTATGAATCAAAAGTGCTATTGATCTTAACAGCAGAAAACCAACCTATAATCAGTGCACGACTTTTGATTGTACTATTAAAAATATTAATTAATCTCTTTACACGCTAGATATCTTTTGAAGCATGCTTAGAGAATTGCGAACAGAGACGCCTTTGTTGTTGTTCATCATCTCTTGCGTAATATTAAAACTTCTCCTTGATTTTTTTTGTAATTTTTGCGATATTTCATTTAACAAACACTTTGTTGTGGTGCTGTCCCTAACTCCTTGTAGAAGATTGATTCCTGTTTTATAGATCCCTATTATATGTCTATTAATATACTTACATTGTTGTTAAACTATGGCAGTTCATCTTACTTGTTATTGTATCCTTTAAAAGAGAAAAGGGAACAGAACAGTTCATAATCACTCTTGTACAGCTATATAATAAATAAAATTAAAAAGTTTTGCACGTGTGTACAACTTCTATTCTTTTTTTTGATTTAAGGGCAGTAAAGCAATCTCTTTTTAAGGGAGTTTTATCACGGCAAATATAAGCATTGTTGTTCTGGGTGTTATTCTTCTCATCGCTACCTCTTAATTAGGCCTCCTTTTTGGGATATGATTGACTAAAGTGAAACTTGAATTCTCCGGGAAAAGAGTCTCTGTCGATTTTATAATTTTTGATTTTACCTTATTGTTATTGTTCCCTTGGGTTCCTAGTGGAACATAGGGCTTCAACTACACGTCTTTACTTGCTTCTATCTTCTCCTGTACTTTTCACCTGCATCCATGTTAGTTAGTCCATACTGTTCCAACCCCTCTTCACACGATCTTCTCCATGTCACCCTTGTACTGACTTCCCACTCGCCGCTTCCCATTCTGTCGGGTTCCACTCGAGCAATGGCCTGATGCCCGAGCGATGTCACCCAGCGGTCTCCTCAGCGAGTGTCCGATCGATCTCCACTTTCTCCTGCATATTTGTTGGTTGGCGATTGGTTCTTGTTTTATTTTGTTTCTTCACATAGTTTCTTGTTGGTGATTCTTTCCGGCCCGGCCATCTGATCTTCAGTATAGAGCGAAGACAGTTAGTTGTTAATAAAGGTCTGCAATAGCCTGTTGGAAATATTCTTTGTGACCCACCTGCCAAGTTTCTGATCCGTGTAGAAGAACTGACTGACTTGACGTTTGTATTGAAAATCCGAGCGGATTTTGTTGGTGATGCTGAGTGACGAAGATTTCCAGATTGATTTCAGGCTGATGAATGTGTTTCTCGCCTTCCCGATTCTCGATTTGACATCCTCGTCCGCTCCTCCTGTAGTTGAGACAATGCTCCCTAGATAAGTGAATGAAGTGACCTCTTTCAAATTCCTCGCGTTGATGGTGATTGACGTTGGATGTTGTTGCTGTTGTTGGTTGGTTATTTTCATAACCTCCGTCTTGTCTATGTTTACCTGGAGTCCTGTCTTTGCTGCTTCTTCGACCAGTTTGTCGGTTTTCGCTTGTAAGTCTTCGATTGTGTGTGACATCAAACATAAGTCATCCGCGAAATCCATGTCTTCTAGGTTCTTCACGTCGGTCCAGGATATTCCTGTCTTCTGGTTTCCCACTGTCTGACGCATAATCCAGTCAGTCCACCACAATTAGGAATATCATTGGTGATAGATAATAAGCACCCTTGTCTGACTCCTGTGTTTACTACAAACGCCTCGCTGAGTTTTCCGTTGTGGATCACTTGACATGTTCCGTTGTCGTATAGTTGTTGAATATTTGGGGTACGCCGTAGTGCTCGACTAGATTCCAAATTACTTCACGGTCAACGCTGTCAAAGGCCTTCTCAAAGTCTATAAAGTTGAGGTAGAGGTTTGACTGCCATTCTATGCTTTGTTCTGTGATGATGATGCTTAGAGTTGCAATTCGGTCAGAACATGATTTTACCTTAAAGACTGTCAACTTTTGCAATAGGAGGTGATATGATCAGAATGCCCATAGAGACATGGGATCAATGCAACTGCAATTTTGTGCAGTTTGTGCAAATTATATGCATTCCTTTTTTCATTTTAAAAGTCACCTTACTGTTAGTGCTGTACAACTAGGTAACACCAAAAGGGAGAGGTAGGTCATCTGCCTGTCAGTTATATATTTTTTTCCTTCACGTTCCCCAGTGGAACATAGGGCTTCAAGCTAGTGGCTTGAAGTTTCTGTAGCAGTGTTTATTTTACAGGTTGGGGTTGCTAGCCTCATGCTCAACCTTTCCTCTTTACCAGCATTATTTTTGACTCAGTGCGGTAAAGCAGTGCGTCTACGGCAGGGGATCGAACCCCGGACCATGTACGTGGTCGGCGAGCGTCCTAACCTCTATACCACAGACGTATATCAGTCACATCAATGTCATCTATTGAATTATGAATGCTGTATAGTGGGCCTAATAATGACCTAAGAATTTCAGTGCGATGTTAGTTATGCATACTATTTACCTCCAAAATTAAGCTTGGTATCGCCTTCTTTTGTTGTAACGTTTTATGAAGCCATATTGGCGTGATTGCATAGAGCAGAATAATTTAGAGTCGATAGTGGAGTTTGTATTTTTCAAGTGAGAGTTTGTCAGATTGTATGGAGGATTTAATCATGAGCTGACATCAGTTAGAGAACCACTGGAAAACCTGGGAGTACTGGACACCTGTTTCGTCCTAGTTTGGGACTCTTCGGCAGTGTGCACCCACCGGGGTTCGAACCCAGGACCTTCTGGTTACAAGACGAGCTCGTAGACCTTTGAGCCACTGGGACCCGATCCAATGGTTCTTGAATTCTGACTTCTGCCAATTCACGACATAGCGTGACCACTTCGCAATGTCTTCTTCGATGAGTTACTGCCTCATCTTCGACATGCTGTACCCTACTGGTCACGGCTTCCCACTAGAACCCCAGGTTAACTGCCTGAGAGTTTGTCAATTAATTTTGGATAGGATTTTGAGAACTAGTTGTTATTTTTAACCGGATGAGTCATTGGTAAAATAATCTTGTCTCAACAGTCTGCAGTACGATGTAGACATGTTTATCATGTGGGATCCTAGTCCAGAGAGTATCTCAACATGGAAATATACCCCTTAAAGTACGGGTGTTTTACGATATTTTTAATCCTCAAGCTTTTAAACAGTTCGGTTTCGCCTTTCTTTGTTGTTGAGAAAAGTCGTTACTAATTCGCTGGTGTTTTAATGCAACTCTATGTAAAGATTTCCTGTTTTCAATCTGAAATGAGGACCGTTTCCAGTCAATCAGTGGTTCAGATTTAATGTCCATGTCAAGTTGGCCATTTATGAGTTTCCAGACCGTAGATGTTACGAATTCCCTGGATTAATTTGAGCGCCGAGTTATATTGAGTCATTATAAATTATTTAAAATAATCCTAGCTTGTTTAAGCTAAAGTCAGAACAAGGTTTTTCCGAACATTTCGCCATGTAAATCGCAGTTTCTTCAACAGGATTATTCGGAAATTATTAACCATCAAAATATGTAGTCGAAAATTACATAAATTGAAGTCAGTTGCTTTGATGGTCACTTTTCGGTAGATATTTTTACCAATAGAAAAGTGTAGACAGTCATCGCATATTTGTAATGACTAATTTCAAATTGTCATACATACGTATTTGTCTGTATGATTGTGTGTATGT